CCCCAAAACCCCAAAACCCCAAAACCCCAAAACCCCAAAACCCCTCAGGATTTTAATAAAAATGAATTAGTGGTCAATAAAATATACTAAAAATATGAAAGCTTTATCGTGAAGGTCTGTTTTTGCGAAGATATCTACTTTCAAAAATTCTACTATGATGTTATCAATGTTTAACAAGAGATCTTTCATGAGGTTAAACAGATCCTTATCAGCTGGGAAATCTCATCCATCGGTTTTAAAGCTGACTCAATACCAAAAGATGAACTTCAGACCAACAAACACACTATTTTCCAAAGATTACTACAAAATTTTGGGGATCCCCAGGAATGCTTCACAGGCAGATATCAAGAAGAAGTATTTCCAGGGAGCCAAGAAGCTTCATCCTGATGTGAATAAAGCAGCTGATGCTCAAGAGAAGTTCGCAGAGTTCAACGAAGCCTACGAAACCCTCAGTGACGAGAATAAGCGAAGAGTTTATGACCAAACAGGCATGACAGGCGACGAGCAGAGCCAAGCAGGTGCTGGCGGTGGCTTCCCAGAAGGCTTTGGTGGCTTCTCAGGTGGCGCTGGTAACTTCTGGGAGCAATTCACAGGCGGAGCACAAGGTAGACAGGGTGGAGGCATGCCAGGAGGCGGTGGATTTGAAGACATTTTTGGAGATTTTGAAGACTTCTTTAGCATGGGAGGTCCTGGAAAGGGAGGAAGACAAGCCCAAGGCCGGGTCAAAGGGAAAGATATCTCACTTAATATCACAATAGACTTTATGGAAGCTGTAGAGGGTGCTAGTAAAACTGTAAAGTATCAAAAAGTTGATGATTGCTCAAGATGAAATGGGACTGGAGCACAACCAGGAACTGGAGAGACAAATTGCTCCACTTGTGGAGGATCAGGGTATCAAACAGTCAGACAAGGGTCAATGATATTCCAAAGCACATGTCCTTCATGTGGAGGTATTGGCAAAGTGATCAGGAATCCATGCTTAAGCTGCCAAGGACAAGGGTCTGTGCAAACTACAGCTACAGAAACTATTAAAATTCCGAAAGGAGTTGATACAGGAGTTAATCTTAGGATGAGTGGGAAAGGAAACAAAGCCCCTCAAGGACCATCAGGTGATTTAATGATCAAAGTAACTGTCAAGGATCATCACTATTTCAAAAGGGATAAATATGACATTAATACTGATAAATATATCACCATCTCCGAGGCTATTCTTGGAGGTGAAACCACAGTCAGAACTCTCACAGGAGACATGAAACTAAAAATAAATCCCGGGACTCAGCATGATGATCGCAAAAGATTAGTAAAATGAGGGATAAGCAGATTGCCTCCTAATCACAACCAAAAAGGAGACCATTATGTAAACTTTAAGATAGAGATCCCTCGGAACTTAACACCAGAGCAAAGAGAGATCATAGAGAGATATGCAGCTACTGAAAAGCAATAATCTAGAACCTATTCCATAACTAATATTCAACAAAATTCTGGAAAACCGGGGTTTTGGGGTTTTGGGGTTTTGGGGTTTTGGGG